ACTCCCGACCGTGGCAGCTTGTCCAGCACCAGTGGAGGAGGATGGCTTTGGTGTCACAGTGTTTCTGCAGACAGCACCTTGCAGCCTGGCTGTGGGAGGTGTTGGGGCACAGGGCTCTTCAGTGCTCTGACTGCACCGAGGGGCTGGAGGGGTCTCTGCCATGAGTTCAGGGTGGTTTATGGTGCTGTAGGTTGGGAGGTAATGAAGGGGAATGGGGTCTCTGCAGAGCTTGGCTCTCCTCTTGCAGGGATACAAGGGTAAGAGTGAAGCGATCCAGCACTGGCAGGAGGCTGATGCAGGGGGTATGGGTATGGCCAGGCTGTTTGCTGCTGTTCTGCCTGCTTGTGCGATCCCTGCAGGGTGGGATCCAGCGCATCTGCCTGAGGTGCCTGTGCCCATGCAGATCTTTGCACTCAAAGACTGGGGTCTCCTCATGCAAATCACAGTAACTGGGCATTGCCCTGTTTGCACCGGTACAATCAGCTTGACTGGGAGTTGTGAACCTCTGGGGCTGGGCAGCGCTGGTGTCAGCAGGACTCAGGAAGCTGTAAGGGGCACCTGCATCCCGATCAGCGTTTCTGAGATGAGCCCCAGGTTTAATGCTTGTGTTTGTAGGATTCACATGGCAGGAGCACGTGTGGCCTATTGGGAACATGGAGGCTCTCACTGCCAGGGCACCAGTGAGAGCAGTGGGAAATGGGAAAGGAGCTGATTCCTCACCCCTGGATCAGCCCTGCTGGAGCTCTCACCGTGGCTCCTGCCGCAGCAGGAAGACGGGAGCAGGATGCGGCCGCTGCAGGGCCGGGGCTGCCCCAGCTTTGGCCTCTGGGTGCCGCTGGTGTGTGAGGCCATCGAGGCACCTCGCTAGATGTCCTCCGATCCCTGCGCTGCCGCAGCCGGGGAACAAAAGCTCTTCAGAGCCCGTGGTTTGATAATTGCTCCTTGTTTCAGTGCTGGGGTCCTCCCCCTGCCCCTTGAGGGGCTGAAGCGCAGAGGCTTCTCCGAGTCGGCCAAAACAAGCCACTCTGGGGCTGGAAAACCTCATCGCTTTGTTGTTTCTTGTGTGAAACCACAGCCCAGAGCCATGCACTTATCCCATATTCCCGTATCCCAGAGTTTAGGAGCACTGCAGGGCTGACCCCTGCTGGTTGCCACGTTCCAGCCTTCCCTCACTGCCCCTTCCCAAGGGTCCTGCCTGCCCCTGGAGGTACCTGACTCACAAACACCCCTTGGCCTGGGGAGCACATGGGGTGCCCCATGGCCTGTGTGTGTGTGCAGGCTGGTCCCAGAGCCATGCCAGGGGTGTGGATGTGGCTGTGGGGTTTAGCAGACCGCTGGTGAAGCCCCTTTGGTCAGGTGGAGGTGATGGGGCTGCGGTGATGCTCCCGCTTAGGTGGCAGGGCTGTGCTGGGGCAAAGTGCCCTTTGGCTCCTGGGGCTCCTCTGCTCGGGGGGCAGCACTGGCAATGCTGTGCTGAGGGCTCGGGGCCAGCACAGCCGCACTGTGTGAGTGCCCCACACCTGGACCTTCCCTATGGTGGATGGAGGATGGATCCTACCCCACAGTGAGCATGACCGGCTGGCAGCAGCACACACTGCCAGTGCAGCTCCTGGTGCTTCACTTGCTCCTCACTGTCCCTGGCTTGCTCATGGACTCGTTGCTGACTTTGGGGCTTGGTGTTTGCCTTTAGAAAACCCAGATGTGGGCAGTGCATGAAGGGCAGGGGGTGCTCGGAGCCCTGGTAACCTGCTGCCCCTCTGGCTGCAGTGAACTCACCGGGCTCCAAACCTGCTGTCCCACACAGCATCAGCGGGCACTGGTCCATGTGGACAGGGTGGATTGCGGACAGGGCTGGAGCCCCTACTGAGGGAGGGGAGAGGTTTGGCATTGCCGTGCCTCCAAGCACAGCAGCAGAGCTCGGCTCCAGCAGGACCAGACCCTCCATGGTTGGCAGGGGAGCCTGGATGGCAGCAGTGTTCGAGGCCAGGTTGGACACAGGGGCTTGGAGCAAGCTGCTCTAGTGGAAGGTGTCCCTGTCCGTGGCAGGGGTTGGAACTGGGTGAGCTTTAAGGTTCCTTTCAACCCAAACCAATCTGATTCCTTGGCCCCATGCAGGTGCCCCAGGGAGCCCTTGGGGCTGATGAGGGGCAATGCTGCCCAAACCTGTGCATGTCTGTGGGCACCCAGTACTGGGCATGCTGCTGTCGAGATACTGATGATGCTCATTTTACTGTCTGGGAGTCCCGTTACCCTGCTGGAACTCCATTAACTTCTATTTAAACCAGCCCTTAACCTGGCCAGGGGTGTTGGTTCCATGCCCACAGCTGCTTCCCATGGTGGCTGGGATGCGTCCCCCAATGCACAGCCTCGGGCAGGAAATGGAAAGCCAAATCCATCCAAAGGCAGGGGACAGAGCAACCTGAGCTGGCCTCTGGCCTTGCTGTGAGCTGCAGGAGGGCTTGGGGCTCAGCACCTCCACAGGGATCCGCTGGAGCTGTGTGCTGGAGGGCACTGACAGCCCTACCCAGGGGCTTTATCTTAGGAAAAGGGCGCTCTACCGCTTCCATTTCCCAGGAGGTGCCAATTCCCAGAGCCGGGTGGCTTAGGGCAGACCCCAGCACTTATCTCCAGACAGATGCAGGGTGCCCAGACCTGCCTGGCAAGGAAGAGAAAGGCGAGCAGAGAGTGCAGAAACCGGGCACCCCACACTGGTCCTCTGGGCTGCATCCTCTCGATGTTTGGGGTGGGTGCAGCACCCAGACCTCATGGCAGGGGTTGGTTTGTCCCATCTAGAGAACACCACCATGGGTGCACCTTGCTTGCTCTCCTCCCTGCCACAGCAGAGCCCAGGCGGGCGACAGGGCTGCGAGGTACCAACAGAGCCGGTCTGTGACGCTTGGCTGGGAGGACAGAGGGAGATTGATGTCGCTCGGGAGCGCAGCGCTCAGCTGCGGGCTCTGCCTGCCCCTGCACCAGCTGGGGACAACAGCGCCGGCCCCGGGTGGCACTGGGGGCACTGGGGGGCTGGCGTAACCCCCCCCCCCGGCACAGCTGGCAGCGCTGTGAGGCTGGCGTCTGCCCAGCGGGCTGGCACCAAGGGAGGGTCCCCCCATGGGGTGCTTGGCCATGGCCGGGTGTCTGAGCTCCAGTGCGGAGCTGGAGCCCCCCTTCCAGCCCCACATCTGCCCCATCATGGGTCCTGTCCCCTGGTCAGGGTGAAGAGAGCTGTGGAAGCACCCCACGGAGCTGGGGCTGGGTTTGGGGGAAGCAACTCAAGGGGGGGCTCCTGCCCACCTCTGTGGCATCTCCTATGTGTGAGGTGAAACCCGACAGTCACCACCAGCCGTGTCAGAAAGGACACGTGTGGAGGCGAGGGTAGCTGGGTGCAATAACGACATGCGGGGCTGTTGTGCCTTCATCCCCGCATCCCCCCGACACGTGAGGGATGCTGGAGCTGGCCGCGGGGTCCGTGGCAGACACAAACCCGCAGCACACCACTGAAAGTCCCAGAAAGGCTTTATTGATTCATGTCTGTATGTAGGAAGGTTGATGCTGTTTAAAACCCCACCGCTGCTGGAGGGTGGCTGGGCTGCCAGTGCTTGCGGGTGCTGGGTGCCCGCTGGCACCTCTGCTCAGCACTGCCTCGGGGGGGGCCAGGGCTGGATGAGCCAAAGACAGGGGGTGCACCCCTTCCTCCGTCTCCAAATGGGGCCTCTCCCCAAAACCAAGGCTCGGAAGCCTGGCCCAGACACACAGTGCAGCCCCACAGTGACCCCCACGACGGCAGGCACAGTGGTGGCAATGGGATGGACGGAGCTGGCTCAGCCCGTCCTGGTGGGTCCTGGGCTGGTTCTCCTCTGCTTGCCCTGTCTGTGAAATGGGTGCATGCAGCTGAGACTGAAGGGTTGAGGGAGTGAGGGGGGGAGCCTTTGCTCCCCGAAGTCATGCAGGGAGAGGGTGATGCCTGCCCGAGGAATGGGGTCCCTAATGGCCATGGTGGGGGTTTCTGCAAGCAGTGCTGTCTCCTACTGATGTCCCCCTGCCCCACAGAGTCCCTTTTGCCATCACAGGTAGGTCCCTGGGGCCCTTGGATGCCATAGTACAGCCTCCAATGGGTGAATCCCATTTCCATGCTGACTTGCCTGCAAGACCCTGGGCCCTCTCCTGCACTTGGGGCCGCGGAGGAACAGACCCTGCTGGGATGAGGGTCTGCCCAGGCTGGCTGTGAGCAGGGGCAAAGGAGAGCATCAACACATTTCTCTCTGTAGGACCTACATAAACATCACCTACTGCTTTTATTTCCTGCTAAGCACAGAGGATATCTAGGTCTGGAGGGCTGGCAGCCTCGCTGGGCTTGTCCTGTTGAGGTTTCGGATGCTCTTTTCTCCAGTGGAGGAGCAGCAGGGGCGAACCTGCCCAGGGAATGCTGCACCCGAGCACCAGTGTGTGGAGGAAGCAGGGGAATGGAGCAGTTTTCACCTCAGGCTCTCTGCTGGCACCGTGGGGCTGCGGGAATGCAATGGTGTGGGGATGCCACCACTCACTATTCCTCCAGAGGCACCGCTGCAGCTACCCCCATTACCTTCATCCCATCATCAGATCGGCGGTGGGCCCTACCCTGCAGGCAGTGCAGTGCCCAGTGGTACCCATCAGCAGCTGCAATGGCCGTCTGTGCTCCTTCACCATCAGCAAGACCTTGGGCTCCCCGGCTGCTGCCCCAGGGCTGGTGTTTTCCCAGCAGAAACAGAGCCTCCTGCTCAGTGTCCCTGCCACAGCCGTGGGCACCATGGGCAGCCTTGGACTCTGCAGGGAAGGAAGCATCCCTGACCCCACTGCATTGCTGTGCGCTGGGGCTGGCTGGGGGCTTGTCTGTTGATGGACTGGGGGCTATGGGGCCATAGCCAGCACCACACACAGTCCGGGTGCTTGCTTTTACCTGCAACCCATAGAGAGCTTTAGTTTGTCATCTGGCTGCTCGTGGCCCATGGCCCAGTGATGCAGCCTGACATGGAAGAGGTGGAGGGTGTTTGATTGGAAGGTGGTGTTTGCTGGCCACCAGCTGTGCAGCATCCCAGAGTATCAGGAGCTCCCCTGTACCATAGCAGCACAGCATCCCTGGGTACCTGAGGCTCCCCAGCAGCACAGCATCCCTGGGTACCTGAGGCTCCCCAGCAGCACAGCATCCCTGGGTACCTGAGGCTCCCCAGCAGCACAGCATCCCTGGGTACCTGAGGCTCCCCAGCAGCACAGCATCCCTGGGTACCTGAGGCTCCCCAGCAGCACAGCATCCCTGGGTACCTGAGGCTCCCCAGCAGCACAGCATCCCTGGGTACCTGAGGCTCCCCAGCAGCACAGCATCCCTGGGTGCCCAGAGTTGATGCCATGCAGAAGGCAGGAAGGGTCCCTTTTTCAAACCTGGGGTTGCTGTCCCTGCCTCCTCAGTGCCCCAGCATCCAAAGGGACATGGGGGCTGCCATGTGTCCAGGCTCTGAGGCCCAGCCTGGCTGTGCCGCTGCTCCAGGACAGAGGGAAACACGGTTCTGGCTGAGGCTGTGGCATCCATGCACACTGAGGGGGCAGACGGAGAGGCAGTCCTGCTTTTCCAGCCCTCAGGGCACGGAGTGGATGTCCTCTGAGCGCAGCACTTTGTAGACAACCCAGTAGAAGATATTGAAGACCAGGAAGGTGAAGGGGAAGACGGCTCTGGAGATGGTGTCGATGCGCTTGGCCCGGTCAATGTAGCGCCGGTGGAGGCTCTCCCCTTCCCGCAGCAGCATCCCGGCTGGGGGGGGGCTGTAGATGCCAGGGCCCTCCCCAGCCCCATTCTTCGGCTGCAGGCAGTGGCTCAGCCCATAGCCTCGCAAGTAAAAGCGGCTCTCACGGACGAGCTCTTCCTCCTGGAGAAGGGAAAGGCTGTCACCCTGTGGGTGCTGATGCTGCAGGTGAGCAGGAACTTGTGGCTTCATGTCATGTCCTATGCACCCACCCACTGGGCAATGCACCCAGTGCATGGCACAAGGTTAGGTGCTATTGCAGGCATCCCAAACTGAACAGGGATGTCTGAAAGCGTGGGGCCAGCAGCTGCAGGCAGAGGCAGGCAGCAGTGTGCGTGCTGCTCATCCGACACGTGTTTTAAGGGTGCATCCAAGGGTAACCCCAACCCTGGCAGCCCCACACTGATCCCCACAGCCTCCTCCCAGCCCTGGGACAGAGGTAAACTGGAAGGGGTGGTTTGGATACATGGGGGTGCAGGGCATAGGAGTACAGAGTGCATGGGGGTGCTGTGAACTTGGGGGTGCAGGCATTGCTGTGACAGTGGGGTGCAAGCGTGCCTGTGCTGGTGAATAGGAGCGGGCAGGCAGCTTGCTGGAGCATACCTGGGCAGGGATGCAGGAGCCTGGCTGCCATCAGGGCTTGCAGGGCCCTTCAGTCACTCCAAGGGCCCAGAGCCTGTTTCTCCCTGCAGGAGCTTGGCAGGAGCTGCCCAGTGCAGCAGAGGAGGAAGGATGAGAGAGCTGGACTCCTTGCTGCTCTCCCTGCTATTGCTCACCCCATCCCTGCTCCCTGCTCTGTGCTGGTGGGTGCTGCAGGGAGGACAGCATGCCCACGGGGCTGCATGCCCATGATCAAGCCTCCAGGAGTGCCATGAGAGCCGGCACCCGTGGGCCACAGCCCATTGCCATCACTCACAGCACAGCCCCGCTGCCCTCGCAGCCCCTCGGGTACCGGCCACGCTCCTCCCCGCTGACAGCCCCTTTCCTCATCACGCTCCTTTATCCTCGGGGGAAGCTGTGTGTGCAGAGGTTAGGCAAGGGACCAGCACGTACCAGCCTCCATGTCTGGCTTCTGGCCGAGCCCCCGGGGCGCTCATTTGGTCTGTGTCTCATCCCCCTTCCTGCCCTACTGGTGCCGTATGTGGCTGCGGTGGGTCTCTTCCCCCAGGGAGTGCTGCAGGCTGGCTCCGTGCCTCATGCCTTGGCCATGCACATCCCCGGTGCTGGACCCCAGTGCCACCCGGAGCGGCACTGAGCCTCCTGGCTGCGCTCAGCCCGCACAGGCGCCCAGCCGGCAAGGGGGGCTCTCATGCGGAGAGCGTGCGCTCTGGCACCTTTACTTAACTCAGCAATCCACCAGCTAAGCAAGATCTCTCGGAGGGGAGAGCAGCAGCAGCTCAAATTGCTGAGATTAGCTCGCTTTTGCAGCAGGGTTTTATTCCCCTGCCCCAGGCTAAGCGCTTGCAGCCGCCCTGGGGAGCGCGGTGGGGAGGCTGCAGCTATTCCCTCGGCACTGAGAGGCAGCAGGGCTTGCCAGGGCATCCGGGGGAGGAGATCCGGACTGGGAGTGCTGCTCCTCCCACATGGGTCCCCCCTGGGCTGGGGCAGCCCCACGGTGCTTACTGGGGCTGGGTGCAAGGAGCTTCCTGGGCCTGGCTTTGTGGGGTCTGTGCAGCATCTCTGGATGCTCGTAGTGCATCCTTGGGATGCTACACCACAAGGCACCTGCGCTTTGGTCTGGTTTAAGCCAGCACATGGCTTCTGGGCTCAGCAGAGCTCCCCACTTCCCTGCCCTGGCTGGTGGGTGCTCATCTCTGGCAGCCACGCACAGGGGCTGTGAAAGGCAGGGAGCAAGGGAGCACGCTATGGAGAGCTGGGAAGCCTCTCCTGGCATCCAAGGGCTACTGATGGTGGAGAGGAGGCTTGGGGCAGCCAAGTGCCTCAAACCTGCCCGTGCCAGGCCAGGAAGAGCCCTCACCCTGCTGGAGGTGAGCACAGCCCAGGAGCAGCCATCAGTCCGCCCCAGCATCACTTGCCCCTCGGAAAAGGGAGCTGTGCTGCTCCTGCTCTATGGAAAGGCAAACTAAGGCCCAGCATGGGGGTGCTTCCACAGAAATCTGCTCCATTCCCACCACTCTCACCCCTGTGTTCAGCCCAGGGAGCAGCAGCTCCATCCCATGGGCACTGCCCTGCTTCCTCCATGCCGCTGGGCCCAGCTCCTGCGGGGAGCTGCTTTGGGTAAGGGGGGTGATGCTGGCTGGGGGTGCTCTGCCCTGCGGGGCGCTGCCGGAGCCTCGTGCTTTACCCGGGAGCTGGAGAGCTGTGAGAGCATCGCATGGGTGTGCTCGCCTGCCGCAGGGACTCCAGGCTGCCCGTGCCGCTGCTCAGGACCTTTTGGCATCCCCCAGTGAGCACCAAACAGAAGCAGGACAATGGGTGACCCGCGGCTCTGCCCCAGCCCGGGGGACGGGGGCTCAGGGCACCGGGATGGGGATGAGGGGAGGAGATGCCCAGGCCTGCCCAGACACCGGGATCCATCTTCAGCGTGTGCTGAAGGGGTTTGGCTGCACAGGACGCTGCTAGCCCATGTGGGGTGTGTCTGTACTTGTGTTTTCCATGGAGGTCTGGAGCCTCATGGTGTGGTTATGGTGAGGAAACGAGAGTGGGGCAGCCACAGGTCTTCCACTTCACGTGGGGGAGAGGGTGGTCCTGTAGCATGGAACCCTGCCTCTGCAGGCCCTGCTGAGTTCCCTTCTGCAGCCCAGACCCTGTCCCTCGATGCCACCAGGTCCCCTTGATGCTTCATTCCCCCTGATGCAGCCGTGAGCCCCTGTCACAGCTGCAGCACAGTGGGGACTCCAGCTTTGATGCTGCAGGTAAGGGGAAAGGCTGTTTCACCCACCCTTGCTGCTTATTGTTATGCTTCTTTAGAGAAGCAGAACACGAGGATGTGCTGGCAGGAGGGGGATGGCACCATGAGTGTGTTTGTGCTGGGGCACCCATGGGTGCTCTGCACTGTGCCGCTCAGGCAGGCAGAAGCACTGCGATGCCCCTGGGTCCCTGTTGTGCTGGAGGGGCTGGCTGCAAGCCCTGGGCAGTGGGACACAGCCCTGTCCTGATGCTAAACTGTCCCTGCAGCCCCAGGCTGTCCCCTCGGTAGCTGAGGATGGGCACACGTCCATGGTGGGAAGGACTCACCATCCTCTGCCGCCGCTGGCGCCGGCGCAGGCGCATGAACTCCTTGTGCTGGCGGGAGACGAAGTTGACGGCTGCGTATTCCAGCAGGGCAGCAAAGACAAAGAGCAGGCAGATGGCCATCCAGATGTCAATGGCCTTCACGTAGGAGACCTGCGGGGGTGCGATGGGGCTCAGGGACCTGCTGCCCCCTGCATCATTTGTCCCGCCCCACTTCACCCCACTGCAAGGGGCACAGGGGCCCTCTTAGGTAGGATGCGCAGGTCAGAGCTTGCCCAGCCGAGCAGCACCGTGTTCCTGCTCATTCCATAGCTGCCAAGGGAATGCTGCCCTTGGGACACTGGGGGTAGCCCAAGTTCCCTGACCATGCTGCAGCGCAAGAGCCCAGCATGGAGCCGGCACTGACCTTGGGCAGGGAGGCACGGGAGCCAGCGCTCTGTGTGGTCATGGTGAGCACGGTGGTGATGCCCAAGCCCACCCGGGCCGGTGCCGCATCCATGTTGATCCAGAAGGAGACCCAGGAGAGGATGACGATGAGCAGGCTGGGGATGTACATCTGGATCAGGTAGTAACCCATCTGTCTCTCCAGGTGGAACTTCACCTCGATGCAGGTGAACTTGCCTATAGGAATGGCAGCCTGATGGGTGAGAGGGACCCCTGGGACATGGTGAGAGGGGGGCAGTACGTCCCTGAGGTCCCCTACCTGTGTTGTAGTACTTGGTGCAATAACCCAGGTCCTTCTCATCCCTGAGGATAAACTGTGGGAGCGTCAAGCCCTCTGCCACCTGCACGGCCTCCTGCTCCTCCAACCACTTGAAGATGAGGTCATTCATGGTGTAGCCAACTGGAGGGGATGGAAGGAGCCATGGGACACGGTTGAAGATGCACCCTGCTCATCCCCACCCTGAATGAGCATTCCTTCCTGCTCACCTCCCTCAGATGGATGGGATGGGAGGGGATGGAGGGGGCAAAGCAAAGCTTGATCCCCTTGGGTACTCACAGCTCTCCAGCTGCATGGTGCATGTCTGGATGTCCATGGGAAAGTTCTTGAGGTCCATGGGGCAGGACAGGATCAGAGTCAGCCTGGAGGAGGCAGAGAAAGCGATGGGGTTGCTGGGGGCTGGGACAGCTGGCAGGGGGAAGGAAAGGAAAGCTTCACCTCCATGCTCCGGCACCGCACCGGGGGAGCAGGGCTGTACCTGATGCTGTAGAGCACGTTGCCGTTCTTGAAGATGCGCAGCAGCTTGTTGTCGGTGGTGACCTCGTGGAAATTGGCCCCTTTCTCGTTGGCGAAGAACAGGTCTGGCTTCCAGATGGAGTCGAGCATGGAGGGGTCGAGGTCCAGGGAGTCGTCGGGGTACTCGCGGTAAGCCAGGCGGGGGTCGTTCCATTGCTGCCGCAGGAACACGTTCACCCGGTAGTCCTGGGGCAGGGGGGGGACCACGTCAGCTGCAAACACCTCATAGGGCCCGAGGAGGAGGAGGTGGAACGGGAGGATGGGATGGAGAAGGAGGTGGAAGGGCCTCAGCCCTGCAGGAGCTGCTGCCTGGCACTAACCACAGCCAGGCAGGGGCAGCTCAGGAGCCTTCCCATGCTGTTGGCAGCCAGGGGATATCAAAGCCACAGCAGCTGGGAGGAGGAGGAGGAGGACCAGCAGCTGCTGCCTGCAGTGTTTGTTGCGGGGCTCTGCGGGGGGCTGATGTGGCAGTTTATGGTATTCCGGCTTTACAGCAGCACAAAGAGGGGATTTCTAGCCCTGGGGCTTCCTCACGCACACGGGGAGGCTGGGGTGGTGGGGATGCAGAGCTCGCTTGCACTGTATGGCACCTGCTGAGCCTGCCACACTGCGACCCAGCTCAGGCACAGAAATGGGGCCCACAGAGCCCAGCTCTGGCTGAGTGATCCCGGAAAAGCCACTGCCATTTGCTGTGTCCCCACTGTGGTGCCAGGGCGCGCAGGACCCCTGTAAACACAGCCACAGGCTTGGCTACCGGGACCTGTGCCCCCCCCTTGTCAGAACCAGTGGGACAGGAGACCCTTGTGCTGGCAAACCCCTCACCATGGTGGTCTCGGTGACGGAGCCGAAGCTGTTGATGAAGATGTTGCAGGTCACGTTGACGGGCGGACCTGAAAAACAGGGTGAAGCCTCCTCTTGCTGCTGGCCATGGAGACGTGCAGGGCAGAGCCCCCCCTCCTGCGTGCATTGTGTGAATGGATGCCCACGAGCATCCCCTGCCTGCTGAGGGCTCCCCATGGGGTGTCGGTGTGAGCCCCACTATACCCAGGCACAGAGGGGACGTGCAGGGCACTGGGATTGCACACAGGGAGGGTGTTGGGATGGAGGGATGTGGGTCAGGGTCCTACCAACACCTGCCCATTCCCTGGTTTTGGGCAGCCGTAAGTGTGGGTCTCTGCCGGGTTTGGGTGTCTCATGTCCTCCCCCTTACCTTTGAAGTTGGGTCGAATCCGGGCATCATACCCTGACGTTCGTCCCATAAGCTTGTCCAGGAAATCAGAGGGTGACATGGGCTGGGGTGAGCCTCGGGAAGCGGCTTTGATTTCCTCCCTCCCTGAGACCAGCCTGCGGGGCAGAGGAGGCAGGGATGCTGCCTGCAGGCACAGCTCAGCACCCTGCAGTGCCAGCGCCCAGGGAAGGGGCTGCGCCCACACCGCATCCACACCAGTGCCATCAGCGTGCTGACCCAGGACCTGCTCCCGCTGTCCTCCCCTCTCTGCCACAGCCTCAGTGCCACATGCTTGTGTTCTGCCTGTCCCCCTGCCTGCTGTGTCCCCTTACAGGGTGTTTGGGGATAGGTTCTTGCAGCTGCAGGGCTGTGGTGGGAACAGGGCACAGCAGGCAGTGGCCTTGTGCCCGGCAGCCGGGCTCTGTGCTGGTGCTGGAGGTGCAAAGCATGGATGGTCCCTGTGGGTGCAATCACCAGCCTCGGCTTGAGCCGCTGAGCAAACATCCATACCCTGCCTGGCAGGACTCGTTGTTTGGAGGGCCTGAGGACACAACCATGGGCTGGCCTGGAATGAGTGGTGGTGCCCAGGAGCACAGCTGGGCTGTGACACCTTGCCAGGAGCCAAGAGGATGTGGCAGGAGTGGAGCAGCAAAGCCCACCTCTGCACTGGCCATGGTATGGAACTGACACGATCTCTCTCACGCAGCGCTCCCAAGATGATGGAGACTTATTTAAACCGACCCTGGGGGGCTGTTTTCATGCACACATCTCAGCCTGCCAACTTCTCTCCTTCTGTCAGTCTATAATGATCATTCCAAGAAACAATGCGAGAGACGCTCACTCACCACATTGCCAGGCATGTGGCTGTGATGGAGAGGAACTAGCCAGAGACCTCAGACACAAAGGGAGCTTTGAGCACGCTGCTTTTGCTGCTGCACACTGCTTCATAATCCCACCAGGGCCATGCCCAGGTGGATCCTACTCCTGTTTGGAGCTACAACCCCATTGTCTCAAGCAAGAGGAAGATGCTGGGAGCTGGGACCCCCTGGGGTCCTTCTTCCTGCCTCCTTGTTCCTACCAACACACCTCTTCCTACTTCCTCCCAGGGGAGCAGGGCTCACCCTGGAGGGGCTTATGTGCATCCTTTGCCAGCCAGAAATGGGCACAGGGACCATCCCCACATGATCCAGCCAGGCATGTTTTCCCTTAATTGGAGATGGGTGGCAGGGAGAACCTGAGGCTGGCCCTGGCCGAGAGCAAAAGGCAGGGGAAATGCATCCTCCAGGAGCTGCATTAGGAAGGTGCACCTTCGGGAGCAGGGCTGTGAGAGGCCTGGGGAGCAAGGGGTTAAGTCAGACCTCTGCCTGCCACACATCTGAGCAGGTTTCCTCCTCCGTTGGAAAGGAGGATGCGGGTTCTCCCCCGGAGCATGTGGGAGGAAGGCTCCTTGAGGAGGCTCAGCTGAGCCGCAGCCCCAGCGGTGCTCGCACCTTGAGGACTGCAGGGGTGCAGGAACACCCGGAGCAGCCACCTCCAGCGGTGGCACTGGCAGGGCCATGCTGGCACAGAGCCCCTGGGCACAGCCCTGGCTCCTGGCTCGCCTCAGTTTCGGCATCGTCTGCCCCGAGCGGACCCTGCCATTAACATGGCCCTGGAGCTCAGCACCTTGTGGACTGAGGGGATGGGAGGGCTGGGAAACACTCACATCTGCCTAGAAATGCCACCCCGATACAAGCAGCTCCCATGCGTGAAACGAGCACATTTTGGTACCGCTTCCCCCTCCCCACCGCGGTTCTCCCCCTCTCTGCTCCAGCCGTTCTGAGGAATGGGGGAGGATGGAGGCAGGGAGAGGGCTCAGCCAAGGAACGCTGCAGCCCCCCAACCTCTCCCTGCCTGGCCCCTTCTCCCCTGCATCCCACCTTGCCCCAGGTAGCACCCGACATGGCCAGAGAGGGAAAAAGGGACCTGGGAGCTTTGGATATTCCATCCAAGTGGGCCAAGAGTTGTTCCTGCACCCATGGGATGTGGGGCATCCCCTGGCCTGGGTGACACAGGGGATGGGTCAGGGATTGTTCTGAGTCGTCCCCGTCCCCCCCCCCCCCCCGGCACCCTAATCCGGTAGAGGGTCTGGGCATCACAGGGGCTTTGCAGCACTGGAGAAGGAGCTGCCTGGGCCATCACCTGGCTGGGATCACCCCTTCTCCCACCGTGGCAAAGGTCCCCAGCTTGGCTGGGGTCAGGGGGATCAGGGGGGACCCAGCACGGGGACAGTGGCTGCTGGGGACAGGCAGAGCCTGGCTGGGGCTGGAGAGGGAAGGTCTGGTGGGTCCCTGGGGTGCTGGGTCAGGGTCCCAGGGATGTGGGGGAGCGCCGGCAGCCTGCGGGGAGGTCCGGATTGGGGCTGGGAGGGTTCTGGCTGCGGGAAGCAGCCCCTGAGGAGAGGTCTGGGTCGGGTTTGTGGGGTCTGGGAGGGGACGCCCGGGTCCCGCAGGAGAGCTGTCTCCGAGAGGGGGTGATGCCCGGGTCTGGGTGCCGGGGGAGCGGTGCGGAGAGCATCGGTCCCCGCAGCCCCACGGCCCGCGAGTGAGGGGCACCCCGCGGGACGCGCAGCGCCGAGCCCCCGCGCCGTGCGCTCACCTGAGCGGGCCGCGCCGGGGCAGGAGGCAGCTGAGGAGGAGGAGGAGGAGGAAGGCGAGGGCGCCGGCCCGGAGCGCGCCCATCCCGCCGCAGCCCGCAGCCCCGCCGCCCCGGGCGCACGGGCATGACCCGGCCGGAGGCGGCGGCGCCCCCGCTCCCGCTCCCGCCGCACCGGGGCCGCTGCCGCTGCCGCCGCCCCCCGCCTGGTCCCGCTCCTCATAGTCCGGGCGAGCGGGAGCCCGCCGCAGGGTGGGTGCCGGCCGGCTGCGGGCCCCGGGAGCCGGGCGGAGCCTCGCCCGCCGCGGCGGGGAGGAGGCGGTGCGCGGCGGCGGGGGGCTCCTCTCCGCCCTGGCCGCCTCCTCCCCGCCGCTCGGGGAGCTCTGCCGCCCCGTCGGGGCTGCCCTGGAGCCCCACGTCCCATCCCGGGGCTCCTCGGCGAGGGGCTGCTCTGCCCCGGTGCTGTGCAGGGAGGGAGGTGCGAGGGGCAGGGGAGCGCCCCGGGTCGCGGGTGCGGAGGGGCGATGGGATCGAGGGGATGCGGAAGGGCTGATGGGTATGCTGGATCAGGGGATGTGCAGGGCTGAGGGATGCTCCGGGGACCAAGGATGTACTGGGATCAGAAGACGTGAAAAGGCTGAGGGATGCTCCCGGGGACAAGGAATGTGCTGGGACCAGCGATGTGCTGTGTCGAGGGCTGTGCCGGGGCAGAGGGATGCTCCGGAGGTACTGCCCGTCCGAGTGCCAGGGGAAGAGCCGGGCTCTGGCTCCTTCCTCCCTCTGCCCGGCCTGGCCGTGCTCGGTTCAGGGATGCAGCTCAGGGCCGGCCCGCAGCCAGGCTGGGGCTCAGCCCCCCCTCTGGAACCCCTTTGGTTGCCTTTCCCGGAGGCTCAGCTAATGGGCAACCCTCGGTAGGGGCAGGTAAGCTCCTTGGAGAAGGCAAGATGGACAGTGGTGTCTGTGTGATGAGTGGCTGCCAGGGAGGGGGAAACTGAGGCAGAATGAGAGCTGCTTGTTAGCCAGGGCAGCATAGGGCTGGGCTGCTTGGCTGCCTTTGCTCTGTCCCCTGAGGCCACCCGGCCCAGCCGCAGTCACCTCTGGTCCTAAGGCAATCTTTGATTAACTCGTGAGGAAATGAGGAGTATGAAGAAAAGAGAAAACCACAGAATTAATGATTCGGGCAGATTTCTGTTCGCCCTTCTGCGGCTGCCCCATCTCCTTTGTTTGTATTAATTACAGTTTGGTAACGGATAGGAGCTGCCGTTCAAAGCCATTGCTGCAGGGGTCCACAGAGGACGGGCTCGGTGGAGAAGAGCGTGGTACCCCCAGGGAAAGTGAGGGGCTCAGGGCTGCACTGAATTCTCCTCTGCAGAAAGGCAGAGGATGATTTCCAGAGCTCCGTGCTGAGTTTGCTGTGTGGAGGCAGCATGACCGAGGGCTGGCTGTGTGATACCAAACCTGGGGCACCTTGTCCAGAGCAGGGGAGAAGACAAGGGGCTGTAGGCAGCAAGCACTTAGCTGTGAGGCAGCGTGCAGGAGCCCTCATCCCCGCTCATCAGCTCTCCTAGCACCAGGAGCTGGGAGAAGTCTCCTCTGATTACCATTGCCATTATGGGGCTGCGGTGCTGGGAGGTGCAGGGCAGGATGTGGAGCCGTGGGGCGTGGAGCCAGCGCACACTGCATGACAGTTCCTCATCCAGAGGCTGTCCGAGCTAAGTGGACCTGACACTGCAGGAGGAGGGGAGCCAGCCGCATCCTCTCTGCCCTCTGGGGAAACTGAGGCATTCCTGCACCCGTGCCTGCATCCTCGAGGGGGATGGATGGATGGATGGATAGATGGATGGATGGATGGATGGATGGATGGATGGATGGATGGATGGATGAAGTGGCCATGGGGCTGGTTCTGTGGGTGGCCACGAGCACGGGCTCTCAATAACCATCCACAAGCCTCGGCTGCAGTCAGCAGGGCACTGGGGCCGTGCTAGCGAGGCCCGTGGGGAGGCCGGTGGAGCCGATGCATCAGCGTGGCTCCCTGAGGGGCAGCCCTCCTGCAGCTCTGCAGGCAGCCAGCGCGGCGAGGAGCGAGGCCATGCTGGAAATAAGCTCAGAGCAAATGCAGGCGGGGAGCATCCATCCCATCGGGAAGGGGAAGGCAGCGCTGATTTCTTGCCAGCAGGGTCAGGGGGATGGAGCCGGAGCTGTCAAAGCAGAGCCTGGCTGTGCGCAGGGGACCCGCAGGCACAGTGCTGCATCCCGGACAGGGGATTCTGGGGGGTGACAAGCACAGGTTTCTCCCCATGTTCCTTATAAAGGAGTGTGAGGTTGTTTTTCTGTAGAGAGCAGATTCCAGCCAGCAGGAACAGGCTCCTGGAGGCTGCCTTCCAGTGCCAGGCTGCAAGGACCACACTGTGACCAGGCTGTGGGCAGCAGCCGGGTGTAGTGCCCAGTCCTGGGACTGGCATTGCCCTCCCCTGTCCCTGCCCTGAAGCTGTCCCCATCACAGTGCCAGGCTCTGCTCCTAGGAGAGGCGCAGGCAGCAGAGATTGGGGTTGCTAAGGCAGGGGGAAAGTGTGATACCTTTATTCCCTTTCCCTCTGCTGTCTCTGAGCACTTGTCAAGCTGTTCCCATGGGGCTGGACTCTGACCTGCTGCAAATCTGCCTAGATGCAGAGCCTGGAGGAGCGCTGTGCCCGTCCACACAGCCTGGATCCAGACCCCTCTCTGCTGCTCAGCCCCTGCGTTGTCACATGTATGTACTCAATCCTGCCTGATAAACCCTGTAGTGCATTCACAGACAGCTCCATTCCGAAGGGCTCCGTGATTCAACCTCTTGAAAACGGGGCTGGTTTTATCCTGGAGGAAAGGTTGAGAGGTGCTTGGGCTCCATTTTGGGGTGAACAGGTTTGTGCTGTCTGTGTTTGGAGTCGGAAGGCAGTGAATGAAGGAACGTGCTTTGCTCTTCACCCCGGAGGCAGGAGATCCTGCAGCACCAGCTTCAGGTGGGCTTTAAGCAACTTGCCCCAGCTCCCCTCCAGCAGGCACAGAGGGATTGAGGGGCTCTGGGGCACGGGTTGATAGCAGCTTAGGGGCAGGTTTGGGGGTGTCACACGCTCAGCATCTCACCCAGCAAAGACAGGATAATGGCTCTGAGCTCCATCAGGGCAGACGCAGCTGCTCTCCGACACTGCTTATTTTAACCAGAGAGCACCACACAGCAGGCACCTCCGTTCCCCATCTAATTCCCTCCTGCCTTCCGTCCCCTCTCCCAAGGCTCGCAGCCAACCCAGCTGGCTCTGGACATCCTCCCCTCCCTTTTACCCTAGGACTGGGATGTTTTTGCAGGAGCCAAGGTGTGAAATGGGGTCGCTGAGCGCAGAGGGTTCTGCAGCCAGCATCCTAGCGCTGCTCTGCGCTTCTGCTCTGTGCCGCTTGCTTAAATGCTTAATGAGCACTGGGGAGCAAAGTGTTCCTTGGGAAAGATTCAAGGCCTCTGCGCCTTCGGTTTAGGGATACACCAATTCCCCTTTCCATGCTTTAATCCTCTGAGCAGTGAAAGGGGAAGCAGACACAGTCTCTGTTGTGTCTAAGGAAAGCAGCAAAGCAAATAGGAGCCTGCCTGTGTTCAAGGAGAGGAGAGCCCTGGGGTGGACATGGTGACAGGCTCCCCCCAAACAAACACTGTGAGGCCTTTAATCAGGTGTGAAATTAATGCCATGGACAACACATTCTCAATGGTGCACTGCTGCCAGCCTGCAGCCTTCCCTGGTCACCCATGTGCCCAGCTTGGGTGCTTTGTTCTGTCCTAATGGCACGTTCATGTGGTTCCCCAGGGTGGTGCTGGTCCTGTCTTTCCCTGGAGAAGCTGTATAATGGGCTCTGGGTGCTTTCCTTCCCTAGCAGGAGCAGAAATCATCTCAGGGTGATAAATGGGTGGCTAAGGGGTGGATACCTGCAGTGGTGCTCTGGTTGGGAGATTTGGTTTGGCTGGCACCAGGGCATGGGCAGAGAGCCCCACTCTCCTTACGTCTCAGCAGGGCAAGGGTTTGGGTGTAGTCACCAGTGGGACCAGGCAGGACATCCCCTCAGTGGCCCAGGAAGGTCATGGGGACTTTGGAGCCTGCTCCTAGGGGAAGGTGGCACCGAGGCATGGAAGGAGGGGGCAGGATGGTGGTGATGCTGGGGAGCCCAGTGCGTGCTTGGTGCTTCCGCGGCGGTGCTGGCAGGGACCCAGTGCCTCAGCGAGCCGGGCAGGGTGACCTGGAGGAGACTGCAAGGTGAACCGAGGCGTTGGTCCCCACTCCAGCTAATGTCACTCTATGATATTGTGGCACTTTTCCAGGCTAAAAATACCCCTGCCATCGGTGCGGCATGGGGCGGGCAATGCGTGCAGCCGCTGTGGAGGGATGCTCTGTGCTGCAGGACCAGCCAAGGGCAGCCCACAGGTGGGGCTGGGGTGGCCCTGCCGGTGGCCATGGGGCTGGCCCTTCCTGCACCCCAAGCAGCCAGGCACTGAGGTCACCTCTTCTCTCCTCCTGCTCAGAGGTGACTGAGCACCACTCTCCAAGGCTGTGACATGCAACCACTCAGCCAGAAGTCTCCAAAATACCATGTGAGGAGCTCAGCGACCACTCTGAGCTGGTTTTCAGCCCATTACTGGGGCCTTTGCTGATCCCAGAGGGTCACACAGCTTCTATGGGTGCTCCTCAAGGTGTGTATGGCCCATCTGGGGACCAGCTTGGAAGCAAGATGCTACAGCAGGGCCCTAACAAGGGGCAGCAAGGAACTCAGCCCATCACTGTGGCTGTGGGGCGCTGCATATGCTAAGGGATGTGCTCCCAGCCCTTTTGTACAGCTGGGGATATGGCATCATCAAATTGAGGGACCTCACCTTGTCCCTGTGTGTGTGGGCTGCTGAGGAGCTGAGTGTGGGGCACATGAGGGGACAGGGTTGGCAAGCCTCTCCCAGGATTGGAGGCAGTCCCAGCTGGGCCAGGCCCATCCACCTTCTCCACCCTCCTTGCCATGCGGGGCAGCTCAGCTCTGTCCTCTCTGCTGTCACGAGTGGGTCACTCAGAGCCAGGCAATGAGAAATGCAGGATCCGACCCTGCGCCCACGCCTACATCCATGACAGGACGTTCCCCCTGTTGAGCTGGT